ATTCAACACGTTCATTCCCGATTCCCTAGCATCTTTCTCATCATTGAATTTGTAATTTAATTTGTTAAATAAATTTGTTTAAAAGAAACTTAGTTAATAATCAAAATTTCACAACTTAAATTAGAGTGTTTAGAACTTATTTTGTCTTTTCGATTAAATACACGTACAAAATAGTCCGGCTAACCTTCCTTGAGAGACACGACCCGGTGTTCGAATCTTTTGATTCGATACTCGGTAAAATAAATATAATTTACTACAACAAATTTGGCGCCGTTGCCGGGGAAGGTTTAGGAATTATTTCGTGCGTCTATTCGTTTATTTTCGTGTTTCGCTTAATTCTTGTGCTTTATTGTTTTTGTGTTTATCTTTGTTTCTTGTTTTATTTTATTATTATTATTTTTTTTATTAGTAGTAATTAGTATTTTTGGGGTGTTTGTCAATTGCTCCTTTCTCGTTAACGGGTGCTCGTAACGTATTGTTGTTTTTGTATGCGTACTAGGAGTGGTCGTGTACTCATTCCGAGCGACAAATCCATCAACGAGGATTTACGAGAATTGTTTGCCAACCTTTCTCTCGAACCATCAAAATCCGACAAGCAAGGCGACATGGCCCGACACGAAGAAGAGGAAGTAAACAACCCCCCGCGATATCTTCTCCGGGACTTAGCCCAACCGGTGATTGGCCCGGTGACTTCATGTATTCGATTGGGACCGGCGGCTCGAAATTACGAGCTCAAGACGATACACTATAACCAACTCCCATCCTTTCATGGCCTTCCCAACGAAGATCCACTCCATTTCATCCGTGAATTTTACAACGTCCTTCAAACCTTTCCACTCCACGGGCTCAACGAAGACCAATTGAAGATGCGGTGTTTTCCCGAGACACTCAAAGACCGAGCTAAGGCTTGGTTTATGACACTTGCTCCCGATTCCCTCACTACTTGGGGCAAGTGTATTCGAAGTTCATCGGGAGGTACTATTCCCATCAAAAGACTCAAGAGCTCAGATCGCAAATCGTCTCCTTCGCCCAACAACCCCACGAACCACTTCAAGAGGCATGGGAACGCTTCAAAGACCTCCAGAGGCAATGCCCACACCACAACTTTCCACCCGGGCTATTGGTAAGTAGCTTTTACGACTCTCTCCACCAAAATCTTCAATACATGGTGGACAATGCGGCCGGTGGAGACATCGAGGCAAAGACGGCCGAGGAGATGATGGAAATTTTTGAGACGATGAGTGCTAACTCGTCTCAAAAGAGCAGCCGAGGAAAAAAAACGATGGTGAACGAGGTTGCCCCCGCAAAAGACATGATAGCCCACCAAATAACCGAGCTCACGGAGCAAATGAGGCTACTCAATGCAAGGAGTGTCCAACCGACAGAAACTATGGCGGTGGAAGCTTGCGGAACGTGTGGAGTCCATGGGCACCGATCCGAAGTGTGCCCGTCGGCCTTCGACCAAGACTTCGGGGAGCAATATGCGGATGCTAACGCCCTCCAAGGATACCAAAACCGACCGGCCAACGACCCTTACTCGAACACTTACAACCCGGGGTGGAGAAATCACCCAAACTTCTCGTGGTCCAACAACAACACTCAACAACCCCGACCGAACTACATACAACAACAAAATCGCCCCAACTTCATTCCACAACAACACCTGCGACCAAACTACCCTCAACAACAACAACCGCAAAGAGGCCCGATGGGGGAAATGCAAACCCAAGGGGTCGGTTCTAGCTCGCTCACCCAAGATGACAAACTAGACAAAATCCTCCAATTCATGACGAACCAAGAGTCAACCGTTAAGCGGTTGGAGACGCAAATTGGCCAACTCGCTACGAGAGTTGGAAACTTGGAGGCCGAATCTGATAAAGGGAAGCTCCCTAGCCAACCCGAGCAAGCAAAGGCGATCACCGTATTGCGGAACGGGAAAGTGGTCGACAACCACGTGGAAATGCCCGAGTCGGAGGACTTTACACCGATCGACCAAGCCAAAGATGCGGAAAATGATGTCAAAAAGAACACCCAGACCGATACGAGAAGACCGGTGGAGGGTCCGAATTTACACAAATCCTCAAATCCTTTCAAACCAAGTCCATTCAAACCAGCCATTCCCTTCCCGGGCCGACTTCGAGATGATAGACAAGAGAAGCAATTTCGGGACCTTTACAACATGCTTTCGAAGGTTAATGTGAACTTGCCGCTTCTTGATGTTACCAAGAACATGCCGTCTTATGTGAAGTTTTTCAAGGACTTAGTGACAAAGAAGAGGATGTTCGAAGACGGAGAGAAGGTTGTGGTGTACGAGGCGGCGAGTGCGATGCACCAAGATCTACCGAAGAAGGAACGTGATCCCGGGGGTTTCGTGATCAAAATAGCCCTCGGGAATGGGAAAGAAGCTTCGGGGATGCTTGACCTCGGAGCCGGAATCAACCTTATGCCATTCTCAATTTTTCAGCGACTCGGTCTCGGGGACTTGAGACCAACTCGTATGTGCCTCCAACTTGCCGACCGGTCTATTCGATATCCCAAGGGGGTGGTGGAAGACGTGCTTGTACGCGTAGGGGAGCTTATTGTCCCCGTAGACTTTGTCATTCTAGATGTGGGAGACGTACATGAGAACGGGAAGGACCACACCATCCTTCTCGGGCGACTATTCATGGCCACCACCAACACCCTCATCGACGTGAAGAACGGAACCCTCAAGATGACAGTCTTGGGCGAGTCCGTGTCTATCTCTATTCGGGAAGCTATATCCTCATCGTCGGTGAATTTTGTTGAGGAGTGCGCATTTGTTGATGTGACCGACCCTTTCATTGAAGAAGTGGCCATACGAGAGTTTGAAGAAAGGAACTTACCCGACCTCAATGATGACGACGAGCCGACCATTGACCTATGTGAAACCAACCAGCCCACCACACGAATCGTTCCCACACTCGAACTCAAAGAGCTACCCCATCACCTCAAGTACGTGTTCCTCGAAGATAAGGAGCAAAAGCCAGTAATCATTTCCGCCGAACTCACCCCGAAGGAAGAAAGTAAATTACTTGAAGTGCTTCGGAAAAACCATAAAGCCATTGGGTGGTGTCTCAGAGACCTCAAAGGCATAAGTCCCTCCACATGTATGCACCGAATCGTCTTAGAAGAGGGAGCCAAATCCTTTCGGGATAGCCAACGGCGGCTTAACCCGAACATGATGGAGGTTGTGAAGACAGAGGTCCTCAAGCTCTACTCGGAGGGGCTTATTTTTCCTGTTGCCGATATTGAGTGGGTTAGCCCCATTCATGTGGTGCCAAAGAAAGGGGGCATCACCGTTATCGAGAACGAGAAGAAGGAGATGGTCCCTACCCGCATCACTACCGGGTGGAGGATGTGTATCGACTACCGGCGACTCAACGTCGTGACAAAGAAGGACCATTTCCCGCTGCCATTCATTGATCAAATTCTCGATCGTCTCTCCGGCCACCAATTCTATTGCTTCCTAGATGGACTTTCCGGTTACTACCAGGTAGCCATAGCACCCGAGGACCAACCAAAGACTACTTTCACATGCCCATTCGGCACATTTGCTTTCAGACGGATGCCCTTTGGCCTTTGCAATGCACCAGGAACTTTTCAGAGATGCATGTTCTCTGATGGTGATTTTACTGGACTAGAGGTATGTGATGGCGATTTTAATTAAGTATAATGGTGTGCCTACAAGGCAAAAAATGGTGTCTATAAGGACGCTTTTAATAATATGTAATAGTTTTTTAGTATTATTTATTTAATTTTTTTTATTCACGAATATAATAATAAAGTTGGGTAAATGACCTTAAAATTGTCCATCCCGTGCATCGCACGGGATCTGTACTAGTATTACTTGAAAAGAATTTGTTACTGAAATTTGATAGTTTTAGAAATATCTTGAGTTAATATTTTCATAAATTCTGAAGTATATATATTTAAGTTGATAAACTATGTTGTAACAAGTTTCAGAAACTATATTCATGTCATATAGGGATTGGTTCAAATAAAAAGAAGGTCTGGTGTGAGAACCGAGAGAACCATATTTGATGCTATTTTTAATTGTGTATGATGCTATTTATACTATTGCATGGTGCTATCATTTTCACAAATGTTGATAAACAATTTATTGCTATTTTTAATAAAATACATTCTAGTTAAAAATAGCACCAAAACACAATCAGTCATAGCAGTACATATAATTAAAAATAGTGGTTCTCACGGTTCTCATGCTAGGACTTAGTTCTCATTTGAACCACATCCTATAGGCAGGGACGGAGCTGTCCTAGCTAGGGGGGGCACTGGACCCCCCCTGAAATTTCCAAAATAATTAGGGGTGTTTTAGTAAATTTGCAATAATATAAAAAAATAAAAAAAACTAGGTAAAATCGGATGAAATCTGGAACAATATGTCCAAAAAAAAAAAAACCATTGAGATTTGAGAAACCGATAAAAAAAAACCGATTCGAGAATTTCATTTTTAATATGCGCTTGGATGAAAACTTTTCGAATGTGGCCAATATTGGAGATCTTGCTCAAAAAGATGGTGTCTAGAAGAAAACATGATGTTTTTCCATTGGTTTACCTAGTAGAAAAAATACTTTTCACATCGGCTGTTTACATCGGTTTTGTCAAAACCGATGTAAAAAATACTTTTCACATCAGATATTGACATCAGTTTTACCTAAACCGATGTAAACAATAAAGACGGTGACATTTTCGTAAATAAAATTTCATTTGGCACATCGGTTCTTACAAAACAGATGTAAAAGATGTAATGTGCGACTTTTATTACATCGGTTATATGTGTAACCGATGTAGAAAAATTAATTTCATCCATCGGTTATTTAAACCGATGTCAATGCGGCCCAAAAAAAAAATAAAAATTTAAGCATCGGTTAAATAAACCGATGTGAATGCGGCCCAAAAAATGACAGAGCTAAATTAATGTGCATCAGTTTAACAAAACCGATGTGAGGACGCCCAAATTATTTGATGTGCACGCCAAACTGCCAAACATCAATCTTAAGCCCAACTCGCCCGTCCATCTTCTGAAAATCGATTATACACTCAAAACCCTCCACCAGTTTCGCCTTCACAGTTCGTTGCTTCTCATCGTCACTGCCTACCCAATCTTTCTCCCCTGACCACCGACGAGCCCTCACTACCAATCACCTCCCCCCATACCCGCGCTTGTTATCGCCTGTGTGCTGCGATAGTCCCTTCAGTAGCGGGCCTAACTCATCGGCGATAGTATTTCCGTGCCTGCGTCTCGGGATTTACCTTCGAACACGGGCTGTATTAAAGCAATCTTTTGGGAGTTAGTCATCCCGGGTGTGGTGTAAGTTTCGGTTCTCATAAAGAAATCAACGGGAGGAAGTCAAGCACTTTCACAGTACATTCATTCCTCTCTTCTCCGGACCATCCACAGTTCGTTTACCGCAAGCACGACTTGACCTCCTTCGAGCGACAGTCGTCCGTCGACTAGCGCGTGTTGCCATCAACAGCCGCCTGCCGTTCTTTGGTAAGTCCTTCACAAATCATCTCAACTAAAATTGTCCTCAACACTCACAATCTTTGATTTGGTCTTGTTTCGCTTCATTTGCTGGTTGATTTAGTTTTGGTTAATTGCTTACTAACCTATATTTAAATTGAAAATAGTTAGAATTTTCTTAGGATTATAAGTCTGCAATTGGTATTGGCAACATAGTATAGAAAACTTTCTCTCGCAAATTTGCTGAGTGGTGGATTTCATTACTTAGGCTCTTGTCTGATACATAAGAAATTAATCATTAATTTAAAAAAATGAAGAGTGCTAATCCAAAGCAAGTGGGGTTTAATTAGGGGGTGTGGGGAAGGATTTACAAAATTTCTCTCAACTTTTAGTTATAATTCAATCAGCGGTGATCATTTGTTAGTTTTAACAGACCTCATTTTTGGTATCCATAATGAAAATTTGATTTGATGTCAGGTCCCCTGGGTGATTGTGATTTTGAGATTACCACTACTTGAAAGTTAGAAACTTTCTTTGCCTATTAGAAAAGACAATAATTAGAATAAGGAGATACTTTGAGATAGAGATTAATCAGGCTAAGGAAATTCACAATGAGATGACAAGTTTGTCTTATTTGCCAACTCGGTAGTCCTTCAAATTTGTGCCATATAATCTTACAGATTGTATCATATTTCTCGTGTGCCATATAATCTTACAGATTGTATCATATTTTTCGTTTGAATAACACGCGTAGAAAATTAAAAAATTATTTTTGAGTATTGGCTTAGCATGCTATTGAAGTCGAGCCAAGTCTAATGGTTTATGTTCGAGCTTTCATTTTATAAATGAGTCAAATGTTTGTCTCGAATTCGATTCATTTAAGCATTTAAAAGTTGGGCCCGACTTGTTTTATAAACTAAAAATCTTAAACGAGTTGTCCGCGCGTACATAAAATAATTGTTAAGGGTTCAACTGTTTCATTTTAAAACTCTAAAAATATTTTTTATCAGTAAATGTGTTGTAAATTCTTTATAAAAATATTTTTTATCAATATAAGAAGATATAAATTTAAGTAGTACTTTTTATATAAGTATTCCTTTTTTTTCCTTTTTCTTTTAAATATGGTTTCTCAAAAACCTTTCTATAATTTTATGATCTTGTCGTTTATAAATGAATATATTTATAATTCTTTTGTTTCTTAATTGATATTTATATTGGTGTACGACTTTTTTTTAACTCAGAGGTGTCCCAAGTGGTTCCATTACTTCCATTAGAAGTTGTTGTCGGTCATAGTGAAAATACCTCAGAAATATCATTTTCACGGTTAATTACCTCGACTTTTTTTTTTCTTTCCATTTTTCACTTATTGCAAGAATTTGACTCCAATGTTAGCTTTCAATGATATATGTGTAATTTGGAATATAAAAGATGATACTTTTTGTTATCTGGAATTCTGTTATGTAGTTATGGATCGTAAATGGATATATGTTCCCCGAACAAGTTTAGAATATGAAAATGGAGTAAATGAGTTCTTGGAGTTTGCTAGCACGCATGATCCTGACAGTAACGGGAAGTTCTTATGTCCATGCGTGAATTGCCTGAATGAGAGGAGATTAAGTGCTGATAAAATTCGAGAGCATGTGGTTTGCGATGGTTTCAATAAGGGTTACACAAAATGGATATGGCATGGTGAATTTGAAATGCCGAGTGGGCTGAGATATTTGGAGAGAAAAGAGATTTGTACATATTTCGGAAGGATATAATGGAGTTGTTGCAAAGTCACAAACTTTGCATTTCTATCATTGAATTCTTCAACATGTAAGTATTTCTCAACCTTTTTTGTCTGCTTTTTATCTGCAATTTGAGGTAATAATTTTCTATTTTAAATGCTTAATTCAATAATCTTTAATAATTTAATATTATATATACATTATCCACTATATTTGTTTCTAAAAATTATTTATTTTCTGATTTACCACAGGTATCTCTATAATGTGCTGAAAGAATCCGAGAAAAAAAAAAAGTTTGGATTTTTGTGCCCGCTCAAAATTCAAACAAGGGGCAATAGTAAGGAAGAGATAGAAGGGTATATTGCGAGAAGAATGGAAAAAGAAAATTACGAGTGTATCTTTGCACCGTACATTAGCGAGTAAGAATATAAAACATATGAAATTCACTTTATCTTTGCTTTATTTTATTTTTATTAACATTATATAGAGATACAAATTAAAAAGTGTACCATTAAATACATTTATCTTCTGGATTCATAGAGAACATTGGCAGTTGATGATACTTTGTCCCAAACAAAATAAAGTGGTTTGGTTGTGCTCGTTGAGAAAAGATCCCAACACAGAGTTGGTAAACAAGATTAACAGGTATTTTTTAAATTGATAAATTAGATCGATTTTGTAGTTAACTTTTCTTTGCTAAATGTATTTTAAATATATTATCTTTAACATTTTGGCGTATTTTGTCTTTCAAGTAATATGAATATTTATTATGTTGCAGTGTATTTCGTACATACTTCATGGTTAAGGGAAAACGTAACCTGAAGCCTAAATGAGTTCCACTTAAGGTAAATTTATTGAATGATGTTAGGTGTTTTGATTTTGGAGATTTTTATTATTTCCTAGGTTTTATGCACCGATTTAGTTTGTGTAGTATAAATGATGTTTTTATGTTTTTCATACAAGTGTCGAAAATAAGAGGGAGATACAGAATGTGGATATTTTGTTATGCGGTATATGCTCGAGATTATATCACTTGACATTACCGACTCGTTCGAAGAGGTAAGTTTTTTATTAAAATCAACTTTTTGTTGTGTTTGAAATTGCACAATTCAATACAAGTTATAGTGATAATATTTGTTTGTATCATGTAGGCTTTTAACATTGATGAGCCATATTCGGACGAGGACATTGAAAATATAAAAATGCGGTGGTCGAAGTACTTTCTTGAGGTTACTTCATTAGGAAAATAGACTTATCAGTTTGCTTACGTTTTATGGAATCTGAACTTTATAACTGTGGTTGATGACTATTGTTGGTGTAGTGCATATGAAAATTATTGTTATAACTTGGCGTTGTTGAAATATTTTGGTTGTTAGTATTTGTCATGTTGGTTTTTGTTGAATTGTGAGAATATTTTGAATGTATGAATGCTATTATTTGGCAGTAATAGATTTTTAGATTTATAGGTAAAAAAATGTATATTTAAATAAAATCGTTGTAAATGCTTTATTTTACATCTGTTTTTATGAAGCCGATGCAAAAAGACTATTTCGACAAAAATGTTTGACGTCGGTTTTCAAAGTAACCGATGTGAATACGACTTATATGACATCGGTTATTGTGATAACCGATGTTATATCTCTTTATTTACATCGGTTTTATTGATAACCGATGTGAATACGACTTTTTACATCGGTTTGTATAAAAACCGACCTTAACTGTCTTAATTTACATCGGTTTTATATAAACCGATGTTAATATAAACGATTTTTTTTTTCATTTTCGAGACCTAATTTTTCCCTTATAACATCGGTTATTTGGAAAAACCGATGTAAACATTTTTTTTTTTCACATCGGTTTATAACCGATGTAAAAAAGACAGACTTTTAACATCGTCTGTTTCAACATCGGTTTTAAATGGGTTTTAACCGATGTGAATATGATTTTTAACCGATGTAAAAAGTATTTTTTTCATTAAGTTGTTGTTGATTTTATCGGTTGTCACTGCTACAGTGGAAAGAGCTTTTTCGACAATGAAAATCATCAAAAGTACACTACGTAACCGAATAGACTATGAGCTTTTGAAGGATTGTTTAATGACATACATCGAGAAAGATATATTTCGGAATGTTAGCAATGAGGTTATCATGCAACAATTTTAAAACATGAAAAATAGAAGAGAAATGTTGTGACCTCTCAATGTTATCGTAACTTATTTTTGTAATACTCGGATATATTTCTTATGTTTATTTAGTCGATACTAGCTTGTATTGATTTATTTATTTTGAGCTAATTTTTTTTTCTTGTTATTATTAGTTGGATCTCCCTCGATAAAATTCCTAGATCCGTCACTGCCTATAGGTATATATATATATATATATATATATATATATATATATATATATGTATATCTTGAGTTGATATAAGATGCTACATCATTTTAATTCTATGTTCATGTTATTACTTGATTAATAATTTCAGTCTTTTTTGTTATCTGTGTTTAGTAATGTGAATGTTATAGCATTGATGCATTATATTTTCTGCATATCCAATCGCATCTGGCATTTTGAGATCCTCTCTTTGGATAGACTATCAATGTTGCATATTGCTTTCATGTTCTTAGTTCCAATATAATGTCATTATATTATTATTTAATATTGAAAATTTTAAAACATAGGACTGCGTTGGGGCTATTGATGGCACACATATTCCAACAATGATAATAGGACACGAAACAAACAGTTATCGAAATCGGCATGGACAAATTTCGCAAAACGTTTTAGCTCCTTGTAACTTTGATATGGAGTTTATATATGTGCTCAGTGGGTGGGAGGGTTCAACTCATGATTCAAAAATTTTGATGGATGCTTTAACAAGAAGAAACAGACTTAAAATTCCTGATGGTATTAATTCATATTTTTCCCCTTCATTTCATATTTTTTTAATATAATAATTATGTAATATCACAAACATGAGATAATTATATATTTTATTTGCAAGAAAGTATTTATTGGCTGATTGTGGATATCCAAATAGACGACATTTTCTTACTCCATATCGATGGACTCACTACCATCTTAATGATTTTACAGGTCAAGGTCGTGACCCAAGCAATGCTAAGGAACTGTTTAATCT